ACAGGATAATAATTTGTTTGTTCTCTGGAATTATATATTGTGTGCGTATGTGTGCTATGGCGTGGCACAAACATAACACACAAGGCAAAAAAAAATTAAAAAAATACTTGAAGCGAATTGAACAAAACAGCCTCTTTAATTAAACAATGTTTGAGATGCCTGTCACTGGTTTTTAGTATCGATAATGGATCTCTAACATATTTGATACTTTGTCAAATTCATCGCTCAAGTGCTACTTTTTGTAATAAATTATGCTGTAAATCAACAAAAACAAGTGAATAGATGAATGTCTGTGGCACATATTTCTACAAGCCTATAGCATCGAGAAGCTCGGAATGCTTAGAAACGGTAACCAGCGAATTCGCAACAATCGCGCCACTAGCAGCCACGGCAGGAACACCAATCCCGGGAAATGTCGAGTCACCACAACACAAAAGCTGCGGAATTGGAGTAGAATGGCCAGGAAATGTACCTTTGCCGGCCTCTATCGCAGGCCCATATGTTCCTCTAGTCCTCCTCAGAAACCTCTGATGCGTCAATGGCGTTCCCACCAAACTCACCTCACATTTCTCTCTTTTAAACCCCGGCCCTAACGCCCGTTCTACTGCTTTCCACAGCACCTGATCACCAATGGTACCATCACATTTTGGTTGAGTTAATTATGGGTGGGGTATTTAATTTATACAATTATGTTCTTGGTTTTTCCACTTCACATTTACACAGTTTGGATCTAGTTGAGATCAGACCACTCTAGTTTATAAAAATAAAATGAATAGGTTACCTCGGACCGTTGGTATTTGAGATTTTTGTATTCAGCACTTCTCCTGTCAAGACCTTCCCAGAGACTGAAAGGTTCGGTTCCAGGCAAGTATGCATGCAGAACATGTTTTCCCGGGGGCGCAAGGTTCGGGCTGAGAACGCTAGGGACTGATATCAGAACCACATTCTGGTCAGCATCCACACCGCGGTCCCAGTCGTTCACAACAATATGATGAATCTCAAGGTCATCTGCTATTCCCTGTTCCACTTCCATTAATAAAGTAAATCAAAACCATTAAAAGAAAGCAAACACAAAACTGAATTTTCCGTAACGTGAACTTTTCTGCTTCTTTTTTTTTCTCTTTTATATACCTCTGCGTCGAATCCCAAGTGAAGATGCATGAATGATTCACATTGAGGCGTCGTGTTCACACCCGTAACATATGAGTCTGGTAGAGCTCCTGGTGGTAAGAGATTTAACGTGTCCCACATCGATGCATTGCTGACCACAGCTTTTCTTGCTCGAATAAACTGAATCATTTTCATGTCGAAATGAGTATTGATACATAAATGAAAAAAGGTTGGAACTATTTATGCAAATTCATGAACTCGTCATACTTGACCATTCCTTAGCTTAACTCCAACGGCTCTACCATTCTCGATGACAATGTTCTCGACATGGCTTTTCAGAGACAAACGTCCACCAAACTTCTCCAAGCCACGGACAAGCGCTGCAACCACTGCACCGCTGCCATCAATAGGGTACTCCAACGTGCAGCCTGGCTTGTACCATTCCGCAAACATGTAGATCTGCACACATAAAGAAGCAAAGACTTTATTAATCTGATCTTGTGCACCAAAAATTTGAGAAAATGATATTTCTTTTGTCCATCGTTGATCCATGCAAGACCTTGGAATGAAGAATATAGTTAGGATATTATGGCAGATACATTGGTTGTACAACCTTTGGTTGATGATTCTGACAAATAGTAATGGACATACGACTGTAATTTCTCTTATAAGGATTTATCGTTAGGATACATAAAATAGTTACCATCTCTGCTGAAAGTATGCCATCAGATTTCACCCCCGCGAGAAGGAATGCAAGAAGATCAACCCAGTTTCGTATAAACGGGTCTTTCAGCCCCAAAGAATCAACAATTTCCGAGAATGGACGGAGGAGCTTTGTGGCACCCAATGCTCCTTTAGGACCCATTTTGATGAAAGATTTTAAGAGGGAAGGAGCATATCTATCAAGAAAAACAAAGAGTCATATCAAGAAAGAAACTAGCAAAATATGAGTGACCAAAAGTAAATATATGCCCATAGAACAAGATATTTGATATACCTTGCAGCGGCCGTGGAGAGAACACCAAGATCCCCGCGGATAGACAATGGTGGCAATGCCATAGCAGCTGAAGACAGAGGGAGTATTGCTCCCTGCAGGTTCACATTCATGTGATTATTAGCAGATGAGATCTCACGAGTAGATGTCATTTATATTGACACATAGGCACCCACAAGAAGCTTTTCCCACTCTTGGACTGCATTAGGGCCGGCATATTTCTCTAGATCCTGAGGAAAAACCAACCCTGAACAATATCAGAGATACAAGGCCATAGAAGTCACTGCAAAGTGAAGCCCAGATTGTATGATGGGAAGCAAAAACAGAGTTAACTTTCGACAGAACATCTAATTGGCAACATAGGAAGTTCGCTTCGTCAGACTCTATCCCAAGATAGCTCAAGAATCATATGTACATATTAATTGGATTAAATGCAATTGTATATTTGGAATTTCATCACAAATAAACCTAAAAATCATATTTTTTTCCGATGTTCATTATCAATTGTAACTAGAACATAGCAACATAAGTTAAGCTTTCACCTTAAAGAAATCCGTAGGGCCTATGCGTGACAAGAAATCCCCTTCTGGTAAGTAGACCATCCAAGAGTCATATTTAGCACATGGAAGTGATTCCCCTAAAGCATCTAGAACCTGAAAGCAGAATCGCCAAAAATGCATAAGAACAAACTCCAAAGACAAGAGTGAGAAATCTCATCCCAATCCAGAATTGGTAAAAGATGCAGATGTGGAACACTAGAGGTTCACTAGAAGAAAGCTACATGTACATACCTGATGTATGATCTAGAAAAGGTGGTTAAGTAGGCAAGGGAAAACATAATGCAAACAAAAACAAGAAGAGAAACATTTTACTTGAGCAAGTGGGTTTGCTTGGGGGCCTCGAGATTGTAACCCAGAAAACAAAGATGGACCAGAGTCAAAGTTGTAGCCTTTGATCTCAAAGGAGTGAGCAGCACCGCCGGGGAGGTCATGACTCTCGAGGACAAGCACATCCTGATTGTATCTAGCTAACAAAGCACCACAACATAATCCACCTATGCCACTTCCAATAACCACAACATCTGCTTCAGCCTCCCCTAAAACACATAACCATAGAGTCAAATTACTTAATTTACATTTATCGTTTTCCTCAATGCGTACATAAAGCATAATAACGGTACATATCATATCAGTAACTGTTCAATTAGACAACTTTCCACTCACATTTGAAAGATTCGTAAACGCGTTTTTATAGATTTATGTTCAATTTACAGATTGAATGGAAACACAAAGCAACGCAAATTGTCATGATTCACCCAAAGCCTCTACCTTTGTTCCTAAAAGTACAAAATCGGATCAAATAGATTGATGGGTTACAATTTCCTCACTTAACATGCAGCAA